ATGGAACTTTGTTGCATGTTTAATAAACAGTTACAATTATTTGGAAAACAAGGAAATTAACATTCGACATTTCATTCTTTATTTTCCATAACCATACTATACCAGTTTAACATAATATTTTGTAGTTTCTCTTCCTCTACGTTACAATAAACAGTTCACTATATATTTTGTTTTAGGGCTTGGCATCGTCTTGTATTCTAAGAAGTAGCGTATTGATTGGCATTGTATCTGAATAATATTGGACGGTTAGAAACATATTTTGAACTATATAACATATTAAATGAGTAGCTATTATAAGATTATGTTTGAAGGAAAACACAATTAAATGTTTATATTTTTCTTTTTCACAGGCCCAACGTTTGTCCATACCGAACGGTGGAATTAGTCCCTGTCAGAACCCCATGCATTAAAGCCTACACACGAATGGTCAAAGTGTGGAAACCCAACTGTGGCTATACCCGGAACTGGTGTGTGGGTTACGAACCCAGGTAAGTGTCTGAGCTTTCTTTTACTTAGCTAAACTAATTATAGGTACACCCAGACATGGTGTGTAGGTTTCGAACTGAGGTTAGTGGCCCTGATTTATCTTCACGTGTTACACCTAACTGTGGGTACACAGACATGGTGTGTAGGTTTCGAACTGAGGTTAGTGGCCCTGATTTATCTCCACTTGTTACACCTAACTGGGGGTACACCCAGACATGGTGTGTAGGTTTCGAACTGAGGTTAGTGGCCGTGATTTATCTCCACGTGTTACACCTAACTGGGGGGTACACCCCGACATAGTGTGCAGGCTTTGAACTAAGGTTAGAGACCCTGGTTTATCTCTACGTGCTACACCTAACTGGGGGTACACCCAGACATGGTGTGCAGGTTTCGAACTGGGGTTAGTGATCCTGATTTGCCTTCTCATATTTTATGAAGGTAAACTTTATATTCAAAGTTTCTGTAAAATAAAGTTTCCTGTCATTGTACCTTGAAATTTCATTCTCAAGTTAAGATTACAGGACTGTATTTAGAAAAGAAAAAATCTGCTACTTTTTTTATTGTTACTTAGAGATGAAAAATGAATCGATGCTGAAGGTTTTACAAATGTCAAGGTTAGTAAGTACTCTATTTTTCTATGAATATATAATTGATAAATATTAACATTATAAAGTGGTATATTTAACACGTGAGAGTGACAAGAAATGATAAGTTACTTATGTATAGTACTTCAGAATTTTACTTTGTTGCCTGAGATGGTGTTTACAATATTCTCTAGAACTGGACTAACCCAGAAAAGAGAACTGAAATAACATTGTTACAACCAGCGATAAGAAACAGCGGACTACTTTCTCTTCAGTAGTGATTGTTACAACCAGCGATAAGGAACAGCGAACTACTTTCTCTCCAGTGCGCTTGTTACAACCACTGGAAAAGAACAGATCACTTACAAACACACAACATATTCCCTACCATCATGACTGAGGTTAGCGTGCCATGACTGTGAATTCGATAATTTTCTTTTCGCGTCCAGCTGCCACAGTGGGTGCGCTATACGAGTGACAGTCAAATCCCACTATTCGATCGAAAACAATCAGCAAATTTTATGGTTTTCTCTATTATCAAGAAGTATTCCTGCTCTTATTTGAAAAGTATTCCTATTCATCAATTTCCTTAGAAATAAAAGGTTCCTATTAATAATAAAGAACAGGGGACTACTTTCTCTTCAGTGTGATTGTTACAACCACTGGTAAAGAACAGCGGACTACTTTCTCTCCAGTGTGATTGTTACAACCACTGGTAAAGAACAGGGGACTACTTTCTCTTCAGTGTGATTGTTACAACCACTGGTAAAGAACAGCGGACTACTTTCTCTTCAATGTTGACTAGCTGCCTTCCCTCTAGTCTTTCACGGATGGCTAATGCAGATAGCCCTCGGGTAGCTATGTGTGAAAATCGAGACAAACCAAAGAAACCATTCGAAATATGGATGAAAAAGTAAGTGTTCGTTATAATTGAGTATTTATGTCTGCTTTTAATTTTGTAGTTCGAGTTACATACGTTTCTAAACTATAGCATTTAATTAACACTACTTTATAGATGTTGGTCTTCGTGAAACAACCACTAAAAGAACAGCGGACCACTTTCTCTCTAGTGTGATTGTTACAACCACTGGTAAAGAACAGCAGACTACTTTCTCTCCAGTGTGATTGTTACAACCACTGGAAAAAAGCCTCTCATTTTAAGTTGTTTACTGCTTTATTTGCTATTGTTTTCATGTCAGGTTAAAGTGTCTCTTTCTTTTAAAGCATCGTTTCATTCGATTTAATTTTTACTATTCGAAATGATCTGGCATGGCCTGGTGGTTAGGGGGCTCGACTCGCAATCTGTCACCGAACATACTCGTCCTTTCAGTCATGGGGGCGTTATAATGTGACGGTAAATCCCACTATTCGTTGGTAAAACAGTAGCCCAAGGGTTGGCGGTTGGTGGACATTGAGAATATCATGTTGTATCTTCTCCTAGTTATTTAATGGAGACGACCGAATCTTTCCTTTACAGAACGACGTACTATTCAAGCTACCGGCAAGAGTATGAAAGACGGTATCGAACTGAGTACAAATGCTGTGATGGATTTAAACAACTTAATGGAGAACGTGGCTGTAATTACCGTAAGTAGTTGTTGTCGTTTGTCTGTCTGTGTGTGTGTGTTACAATTTCCTAAAATTCGCTTTACACTTAAAAATGTGTCGTAGAATTGCAAAGGGATTATGAACCATGATATTTAAGAATAGACACAATTATAATGCATCATATTATTTATATTATTACAGTAAGATGTTCTCCATGTTTGATACTTCTAACAATACCGAGTCAGATTATACCTATGTTTCATACTCTTAACAATGCCGCGTCAGATTATACCTATGTTTGATACTTCTAACAATCTCAAGTCAGATTATACCTATGTTTGATACTTCTAACAATACCGAGTAATATTATACCTATGTTGATACTTCTAACAATATCAAGTCAGATTATACCTATGTTTGATAGTTTGACAATACCGAGTAATATTATACCTATGTTTCATACTCTTAACAATGCCGAGTCAGATTTACCTATGTTTGATAGTTTTGACAATACCGAGTCAGATTTACCTATGTTTGATAGTTTTGACAATACCGAGTCAGAATATACCTATGTTTGATACTTCTAACAATCTCAAGTCAGATTATACCCATGTTTGATACTTCTAACAATACCGAGTAATATTATACCTATGTTGATACTTCTAACAATATCAAGTCAGATTATACCTATGTTTGATACTTCTAACAATACCGAGTAATATTATACCTATGTTTGATACTTCTAACAATATCAAGTCAGATTATACCTATGTTTGATACTTCTAACAATACCGAGTAATATTATACCTATGTTGATACTTCTAACAATATCAAGTCAGATTATACCTATGTTTGATAGTTTGACAATACCGAGTCAGATTATACCTACGTTTGATACTTTGACAATAACGAGTAATATTATACCTATGTTTCATACTCTTAACAATGCCGAGTCAGATTATACCTATGTTTGATAGTTTTGACAATACCAAGTCAGATTATACTTATGTTTGATAGTTTTGACAATACCGAGTCAGATTATACCTACGTTTGATACTTATAGCAATGCCAAGTCAGAATATACCTATGTTTGATATTTATAGCAATGCCGAGTCAGATTATACCTATGTTTGATACTTCTGACAATACCGATTAATATTATACTTATGTTTCATGCTCTTAACAATGCCGAGTCAGATTATACCTATGTTTGATATTTCTAACAATGCCGAGTAGAATATACCTATGTTTGATACTTCTAACAATACCGAGTCAGAATATACCTATGTTTGATACTTACAGCAATGCCGAGTCAGAATATACACACATGTTTGATTTTTCTAACAATGCCGAATCAGATTATACCTATGTTGATACTTCTAACAATCTCAAGTCAGATTATACTTATGTTTGATACTTATAGCAATGCCGAGTTAGAATATGCCTATGTTTGATACTTCTAACAATGCCGAGTCAGAATATACCTATGTTTGATAGTTCTAACAATACCGAGTCAGATTATACCTATGTTTGATACTTCTAACAATGCCGAGCAGAATATACCTATGTTTGATAGTATATTCTGACTCGGCATTGCTATAAGTATCAAACATAGGTATATTCTGACTCGATATTGTTAGAAGTATCAAACATAGGTATATTCTGCTCGGCATTGTTAGAAATATCAAACATAGGTATATTCTGCTCGGCATTGTTAGAAATGACTCGGTATTGTTAGAAGTATCAAACATAGGTATATTCTGACTCGGCATTGTTAGAAGTATCAAACATAGGCATATTCTAACTCGGCATTGCTATAAGTATCAAACATAGGTATATTCTGATTCGGCATTATTAGAAAAATCAAACATGTGTTTCTGATTAGGCATTGTTAGAAAAATCAAACATAGGTATAATCTGACTCGGTATTGTTAGAAGTATCAAACATAGGTATATTCTGACTCGGTATTGTTAGAAGTATCAAACATAGGTATATTCTGACTCGGCATTGTTAGAAATATCAAACATAGGTATATTCTGATTAGGCATTGTTAGAAAAATCAAACATAGGTATAATCTATACCTATGTTTGATATTTCTAACAATGCCGAGTAGAATATACCTGCGTTTGATACTTCTAACAATGCTGCGTCAGAATATGCCTCTGTTTGATACTTCTAACAATACCGAGTCAGAATATACCTATGTTTGATACTTCTAACAATACCGAGTCAGATTATACCCATGTTTCATACTTCTAACAATGCCGCGTCAGAATATGCCTATGTTTGATACTTCTAACAATATCGGGTCAGATTATACCCAATCTTTGCGAAAGGTCAGTTTACCTTGGTGATTATGTGTTAATTGATGAAAAATACGAGCAGACGCTCCATCTTTGTTTTCTCTGGTTCGTTAAATATATGCACGTTTCATGAGAAAACTGAAGAGTAATAAGGTGGCGCTTTAAAGTTTCGTGACTTTGTTAGCACGTTTCACTATCCTGCGAATCATTCACACAAATGTTTTTATAATGTTGCACGGCTCACGTAAAGTAAGAACGACTATACTTGTTGGTCTGGTCTCGAGTAGCAACGTCACGTTCAATTCATAAAGAATTCTTACCTTATTTGTCATAAAACTGTTGTTTATACTACAAGTTATCAAGTCAGTATTGGAAAACTGATCGTCCAAATTCTTCAGAGAAATGAATCGTCGAAGAAACCCTCTAAGGAGGTCGGGGGAATGCTCGCAACAAAAGATTGAAATATTGGATGTTCAGAGATGCATTCTGGTACATTTCTCTTAAGGATATAATAAAAATTTCATCAATTTTACACCCATTGATTCTCACCTTTTTTAATGTGTTTAACAAGTGAAATAAGAAAATCAGTCATTTTATATTTCCAGTTATTTATTCAGTTGCACATAATTGTATCTTCTGTTCTGATTGTTAAAAAAATTCATCATTAAAGAGGAACCTTTGAATGTTGTCACTCTCATAGCTGAGTCCAATCAACTGTACAGAAGACCATGGCAAAACATTGAGTCCAATCAACTGTACAGAAGACCATGGCAAAACATTGATCCAATCAACTGTACAGAAGACCATGGCAAAACATTGAGTCCAATCAACTGTACAGAAGACCATGGCAAAACATTGAGTCCAATCAACTGTACAGAAGACCATGGCAAAACATTGAGTCCAATCAACTGTACAGAAGACCATGGCAAAACATAGAGTCCAATCAACTGTACAGAAGACCATGGCAAAACATTGAATCCAATCAACTGTACAGAAGCCTATGGCAAAACATTGAGTCCAATCAACTGTACAGAAGACCATGGCAAAACATTGAGTCCAATCAACTGTACAGAAGACTATGGCAAAACATTGAGTCCAATCAACTGTACAGAAGACCAT